ATAACAGAGCATGCAATGATGTTTCCCTCCGAAAGGGAGGAGGTACCGGTTGCTGGGAGGCCACTCGGCCTAGGAAGTCACCGCCCAGGAGGCCGGTAGGCCGCTATATCTTCAGGAAGAGCGGAGAGCTCTTCCTCATTTGCGGTATGCAAGGATTGGCGACATGCTGCTGGAGCGCAGCGCTGGACTGAAGCAGCGCTGCTTGGAGGTGAAGGTCCGTTGGGGCTCAGCCTGGCTATGGCGAGCACCCCAGCTTGAGGAGGGGGAAGAAGGGGGCATGGTAGGAGAGTGGTAGGGCACTTACCTGGCTATGGTGGACACCGTCTTCATCACCTTGTTGGGCGCTGCATCTGGAAGGCTCCAGTTGGGGTAGCGCTGCACCAGAGCAGCTCAAGGCAGAGTCAGGCATAGTGGACCAAGTCAAGCAGCGACATAGCTACTTTGAGTTATCTTGGGACATCAGCGCAGCATCATAGCTGCCTCCCAGTAGTCCGCCATGGCCTATGCATGAGAGAGGAGGTTGAAGGAGGGAAGCCATAGCCATGGTGGACTTGTTGTTGTTGTTGTTGTTGAGAGTTGAGTCAGCAGTAAGAGGGAACTTCGGATATTGATTCTGGTACATCCATTCATTGTTATTATTATTGTTGAGGGAAGAATAATATTGGTGAAGAGGAGGAGGAGGAAGGTGGAAAGAGAAGGGGGAATTGTCATTGGTCTTGCTGGTGTACTCCGTCTTCTTCTTCTTCTTCTTCTTTACCTCTCCTCTGGTCTTTATCTCTTTGCAAGTGCTTTCATTTCTTTCGCAATTGGGTGGCATTGTCTTTCATTGTGAATTTGCACTTGGGAAATGACCAGGATCGTAACATAGGAAAAATATTAGAACATTGAAAAAAAATCATTTAGACCGAGAAATAATCGTCGCACCGATTGGCCACATTCTCCATTTTCGCCACTCAGCCATGTGTGGGCCAACTTAAAAAGTACTCCAAATTCAGTGAGTTTTCACTCTTAGAAGAATGCGTGAAAAAACCTGAAAATTAGAGTACTCGTAGATTTGTTTGTGATCTTTCCAGGAAGAACGCTAAATAAATTTAAAAAAATCATTCCAACTGCGAAATAGATCGCGGCCGCAATTTGACCCGTATTTCAATTTTGCCATTCAGCCTCTCTCTCTCTCTCTCTCTGGTAGGCCCCCCGCCTCCCTCTCTCTCTCTCTCTC